TATACACAAATAGTGAGTAGATTGAGGTAGAATTGAAGGAGGCAACTCCTTTTACAATAACCAGAAAAAGTATAAGATACCTAGGAATAAACCTAACGAAAGAAGTCAAAGAACTCTATAAGGAAAACTATGAAAAACTAAAAGAAGAAATTAAAAATGACACAAAAAAGTGGAACTATGTCCCATATTCCTGGATTGGAAGAATTTAATCAAAATGTCAGTTCTACCTAAATTCATCTACACATTAAATGCAACCCCAATCAAATTACCAGAGACATTCTTCACAGATTTAGAAAAAACAATCATAGAATTTGTCTGGAATCATAAAAGATCTCATATTGCCAAAGCAATACTGCATAATAAAAATGGAGTAAGAGGCATCTCACTCCTTGACCCCAAAATATATTACAAAGCTGTGATAATCAAAATAGCATGGTATGGGCACAGAAACAGGATGTGGACCTGTGGAACAGAATAGAGACCCCAGAAATAAATCCCAAAACATACAACCATCCGATTTTTGACAAAGGGCACCACTCAATCCAGTGATGAAAGAAAATCTCTTTAGCAAATAGTGCTGGGTACCCACCTGCAGAAAGATGAAACTGGACCCTAATCTCTCACCACTAACAAAAATCAACTCAAAATGGATTGAAGATGTAAATCTAAGACCTCAAACTATAAAACTATTGGTAGAAAACTGTGACTTCAAATCGCCTGCCATGACCATCACTGCTTAAAATGGCCCGTGCGACCTTGACACATACACCAGGAACGCAGACCTCCTGGTACAGACAGAACTGACAGGTCCTCAATTAGGTCCGCTGTAAACCCCGCCTACCTCCCTCTGCCTTGTGTATATAAGAAAGTGCTCTAGCCCTCAATAAAGGAGCGAAACCTTCATACCATCAAGAGCTGTGACACTGTGTGAGCTGTGATACTTCTTTCGCTCCCATGCTGAGATGCTGCACCGGTTCCAGACCTCCGCCCCCTCGCTCGAGTTCTCTGCCCGATACGTTCCCGCAGGCCGGGACAGAAAACACAGGGGAAACTTTTGGAGACCTTAGAGTAGGCAAAGATTTCTTAAATAAGACCGTAGGGAACCAGCAGTTAGCATAATGGCTATGTCGCTGGACTCCCATAGTCGACCGCGGTTCGCGTCCCGGACCTGGTGGCTTAAAACTCACGCCGGGCGCGTGTGCATGCGTGCCCAAGATCCCAAGAGGAGAATGGAGGAGAAGGGATTGCGGTGTGACCATTCCCCCTGGGGAGTGATTTCTCGCTTTCTGTCTCTCTGTCTCTCTCTGTCTGGTGAACACACGCACCCTATAGCAAAAACCTCTCCAAAAAAAAGACCCCTAAAGCACAGGCAATAATCCCAAAATCAGACAAGTGGGATTACATTAGGTTAAAAAGTTCTGCACAGCAAAAGAAGCAATAATTAGAATGAACTGACAACCCTCAGAATGGGAGAATAAATTTGCAAGCTATGCCTCAGATAAGGGCATAGATGGAACTCAAGCAGCTCACTCGGGGTGGGGGGGTGGAGATCAACCCAATTAAAGCTAGGCAAATGAGCTGAACAAACAAATCTCTAAGAAAGACATATGAACAGCCAAAAAGCATATGAAAAAATGTTCAACATCCCTTTATCATATGAGGTATGCAAATCAAAACCAAAATAAGATACCACTTAACCCCAGTCAAAATAGCTAAGATTAAAAAAAAATAATAAGTGCTGGCATGGCTTTGGAGAAAAGGGAACTCTCCTACACTGTTGGTGGGAATGTAAATTAGTACAGCCACTGCGGAGAACAATATGGAGATTTCTCAAAGACCTACAAATGGAACTACCATGTGATTCAGTAATTCCACTCCTGGGTATTTACCCAAAGGGTAAGAATGCATTCAATCAGAAAAACACTTGTACATCCATGTTTATTGTGGCATTATTCACAATTACTAAGACATGGAATCAACCCAATTGTCCACAAACAGATGAATGGATTGAAAAAGTATAGTACAAACAGTCTATGGAATACTACTCAGCTATAAAATAATCAATGAAATTGTCTCATTTGATAGAAAGTGGACAAATATGGAGGATTTACTGTTAAACAAAGAAAGTCAGACTATGAAAGAGAGGCATTTTATGTTCCACCCAATATATACGAAATGTCTGGACTCTATGGCAGAAACTGAAATATTGGAAGGTATAATGGCATGGAAAGCAACTGTGGATACTAGAGACAGTGTGGAAGGAGGGCAGGGAATGGGAAAGTGAGAGGGAGGGAATCAAGGGGGGAAAAGAAAGAACTAAAACATTTAAGGAACACAAAAATGGAAAATCTTCTGTTGATGATAATATGTATGATAATATCTTTGACTGAACCAATATACAGTGTATTCAGAATGGGAAAATTCTTTTGGTATATTGTAATGATACACAGTGATCAAATGTAAATAATAAATAAATTATTTATACATCTTAATCAACATATCTAAAACTCCTCAGTTTAGCAAATATTAATAGAAGATTTATTTGGTTAACATGATGAATGAATTCAAAATTGAGGTAGAAAAATTTCTTATACAACAATAATAAAGAAACAGACCAAGAACTGATTGCAACCTTGTCCCAGCAGTCAGCTAAGGCAAGTAATTAAGTGCTGTCTCTGCCCTATTCCTGAGGTAAATGACAAGTAGGAGCATGGAATGGATGCCTTCTAACCATTCCAAAGTCAACTTATTGAATCTCATTCCTGTCTTTCACTACTGCAGCTAGCCTAAAAATATCAAACAATGATAAAGTAGCTAAGATCATATTATAAATAAAGAAATTCAAAAGCCCACAGAGCTCTGTTTATAAGAAGGAATATCTCTAGAATCTGGGGGCAGGGGTGGGGAAGTAGGGTTCTGCCATATTTCTTATTTTGATCACTACATTCCAATTAATGGACTAATTTTTTTTTAGAGAGATATTTTAGCTATTGGCCACATGTGCTCTCTAGCGAGACAGAGATAGAAAGCAAGAAATCACCCCCCAGGGGGGATGGCCACGCTGCAATTCCTTTTCCTCCATTCTCCTCTTGGGATCTTGGGTATGCACACACACATGCCTGGTGTGAGTTTTAAGCTGCTGGGTCCAGGACTTGAACTGCAATCGACTACATGGGAGTCCAGCGACGTAACCATTATACCATCTGATGGTCCCATGAGCAACTAATTTTAAAACATGGATAACAAGATTACTTCTTTCTTTCTTTTTAAATTTGCTATAGGGCATGTGAGCTTGCTGGAGAGAGGCATAAGAGAGAAGGGAAAATTGGGAAAACACCCCCCACCCTACTAGGAGAAAATAGTCACACCACAAGCCCTTTTCCTCCATTCTTCTATCTAGCTTTTGGTCATTCACACACTTTCACCTGGCATGTTTTTAAAGTCACTGAGTCCAAGATTCAAAACACACTGTTGGCCATTTAGGATCCAGTCAACTTAACCACCAAGTCACCAGATAATCCATGAGATCACTTCTTTTTATTAGTCTTGTCCAAATGAAAATATCCATCTACTTTCCAAAAGGGTTATAATAATTCATATTGATCAATATGTGAACATTTGAGTTATATAACTACTTCGCTAAATGTATAGTATTACCATCCTTTAAAAAGAAAAGTTTAGCCGGTGTGAACATGTACAAAGTCAACTTATTGAATCTCATTCCTGTCTTTCACTACTGCAGCTAGCCTAAAAATATCAAACAATGATAAAGTAGCTAAGATCATATTATAAATAAAGAAATTCAAAAGCCCACAGAGCTCTGTTTATAAGAAGGAATATCTCTAGAATCTGGGGGCAGGGGTGGGGAAGTAGGGTTCTGCCATATTTCTTATTTTGATCACTACATTCCAATTAATGGACTAATTTTTTTTTAGAGAGATATTTTAGCTATTGGCCACATGTGCTCTCTAGCGAGACAGAGATAGAAAGCAAGAAATCACCCCCCAGGGGGGATGGCCACGCTGCAATTCCTTTTCCTCCATTCTCCTCTTGGGATCTTGGGTATGCACACACACATGCCTGGTGTGAGTTTTAAGCTGCTGGGTCCAGGACTTGAACTGCAATCGACTACATGGGAGTCCAGCGACGTAACCATTATACCATCTGATGGTCCCATGAGCAACTAATTTTAAAACATGGATAACAAGATTACTTCTTTCTTTCTTTTTAAATTTGCTATAGGGCATGTGAGCTTGCTGGAGAGAGGCATAAGAGAGAAGGGAAAATTGGGAAAACACCCCCCACCCTACTAGGAGAAAATAGTCACACCACAAGCCCTTTTCCTCCATTCTTCTATCTAGCTTTTGGTCATTCACACACTTTCACCTGGCATGTTTTTAAAGTCACTGAGTCCAAGATTCAAAACACACTGTTGGCCATTTAGGATCCAGTCAACTTAACCACCAAGTCACCAGATAATCCATGAGATCACTTCTTTTTATTAGTCTTGTCCAAATGAAAATATCCATCTACTTTCCAAAAGGGTTATAATAATTCATATTGATCAATATGTGAACATTTGAGTTATATAACTACTTCTCTAAATGTATAGTATTACCATCCTTTAAAAAGAAAAGTTTAGCCGGTGTGAACATGTATACTCTAAACAAGAGACCTAAGAAGTAACTGAAGTACTGGGAACCAGCAGTTAGTGTAATGGCTATGTCGCTGGACTCCCATGTAGTTGACCATGGTTCGCGTCCCGGACCCGGTGGCTTAGAACTCACGCCGGGCACATGTGCGTGCATGCCCAAGATCCCAAGAGGAAAATGGAGGAGAAGGGATTGCAGCGTGACCATCCCCCCAGGGGGTGATTTCTGGCTTTTTGTCTCTATGTCTCTCTCTGTCTGTCTGGGGAGCGCACGTGCACTATAGCGAAAACCTCTCAAAAAAAAAAAAAAGCAAAAAGAAAGAAAGAAAGAAGTAACTGAAGTACTCACCATCTGTTGCAGAGTTCAGTACCTCCTTAAGCTGTTCTCCATTTAAAGGTTTCTCCATGCTCTTCAAAGTAGATAAAAGGTCTTTAACTTCAACTTTCCCATCAGAGACACTATTAACAATGTTCCATGCATTTTCTATTTCTATGTAAAAATGTTGATGACAAAATACAAAGATAGCTGGCTAGTTTAACCAGATAAGCACATAACAACTTGATTTGAATAAAATATATTCATTTTATATAGTACTCAATCTTTTCTGCCTTTCTGCAATATCCTCTAAACTGAAAGCTCTACAAAACTTATAGGTTTAAATGCTTATATTACAAAACAATACTGAATTATTTTTACCTTACGTGGGCATCTCACAGAGCTATGCAACTAAGGACTAAAATGATCCCAAATAAAATGGTGCCATAATTTTTTTAAACATTTTTATTGGGACCAGCAGCTAGCGTAATGGCTATGTCACTGGACTCCCATGTAGCTGACCACAGTTCGAGTCCCGGACCCAGTGGCTTAAACTCACTCCTGGCGTGTGTGCATGGGAGCCCAAGATCCTGAGAGGAGAATGGAGAAGGGATTGTGGCGTGGCCATCCCCTCTGTTGGGTGATCTCTCGCTTTTTGTCTTTCTGCCTCTCTCTGTCTTTCTGGCAAGTGCACATGCCCTATGGCAAAAACCTCCTCCCTCAAAAAAAATTTTTGTTTAATTTTAAAAGTAGCTTTACTCCCTTTATCCAAATATTTGGAAAGACTGACAGTGCCATTAATGAGATGCTAATGAACCAATATTTTATTAACTTTTTTTTTCCTTTTTTTTTTTGAGAGGTTTTTGCTATAGGGCGCGTGCGCTCGCCAGACAGACAGAGAGAGACATAGAGACAGAAAGCAAGAAATCACCCCCCGGGGGGATGGTCATGCTGCAATCCTTTCTCCTCCATTCTCCTCTCGGGATCTTGGGCACGCACACACACGCGCCCGGCGTGAGTTTTAAGCCACCGGGTCCGGGACGCGAACCGCGGTCCACTACGTGGGAGTCCAGCAACATAGCCATTACACTAACTGCTGGTTCCCTTAACTTTTTAAAAAGTATATTTACTTATATTTTTAAATCTCTATGTCCACAGTTTTGTCTGTCTTCTTATATGTATAATCTATTTTTTCTTTCATCATACTTCTATTTTATTAGTCCTTTTAAAGAACCAACTTTTGGCTAAATGGAAAGTTTATTTATATGTGTGTGTTCTATTTTACTAACTCTGTTTTTAACTTTATTAGTGTCTGACTACTGTTCAGGGAGAGGGGGCTGTTTTGATATTTTGTTACTTATGTTGCTATTTAGTTTTGTGATTTGAACACTTAAGATAAATTATTTTCAATATTTCTCATAGTCTAAATAAAAATATCTAAAGCTAAAACCTTTCCTATAAAACTATTTTGGTCACGCTTCACATGTTTTGCTTTATATGTTTAATCATGTTTCCAATTATTTTCTTTTTCTTTCTGTTGCTGATTTGTAGAATTTCTTTATATATTTGAAATATTAACACTTTGTTAGCTCTAAAGGTTGAAATTATCTCCTTTTAGCCTGTTACATACTTGGTAATTTGGGGGGATCTTGCAATAAATAGAAATATTTAATTTTTATAAAATCACAAATTTTTTCCATATAGCTTTGCTTTTGAAAGTCACATGTAAGAAAACTCTCTCTCTCTCACACACACACACACACACACACAAAGAAATCTCTCACAATACAAGGCACCATATTTTCTCCAACGTTTTTTCCCACCAGCTTCAAAGCTTTCACCCTTAAGATCCATCTTAAATTTCATTTAATTCATTTGAGGATTATTTTGTGTGTGATATAAAGTAGGAACTCAACTTTGTTTTCTTCCACAGAACAAACCAGTTTCCAAAATCATACACTAATAATACATCTTTTTCCCCATTGATTGATGGTGCCATCTCTATCCAATACCAAGTTCTCTATCATTTTCCATATACATGAACCTCTGTGGGTTCTATATTGTGATGTATTAGTCTATTTGTAAGACTATCACGATAGCATTATAACATGTCCTTATATATGGTAAGACAAGTTCCCCATCATACTTCTTTTTCAAAATGGTCAAGCAATTCACAGACCTCTAGACTTTCAAATAAATATTAGAATTATTTTGTCAAGTTTCCCACCAAAATTTTCCTGGGATACTGACTTGAACTGCATCAATTACAGATTTATTTAGAGAGAATTTGCTTATTTAACACCTTTTTTATTTTTTGAGAGATTTTTGCTATAGGGCATATGCATTCTCTAGAGAGACAGACAGAAAGCGATAAATCACCTCCTGGGGGGATGGCTATGCAGCAATCCCTTCTGCTCCATTCTCCTTGGGATTTTTGGAAATGCACATGCACCCAGCATGAGTTTTAAGCCCCCGGTTAGGACTTGAACCATGGTTGATTACGTAGGTGTCCAGCAATGTAACTATTACAACATTTGCTGATCCCTATGTTAACACCTATTTAATACCCCAATCTTAGGACTTCACTTCTTAATCTTAATGTCTGTGTTCCAATGTTGTTTTGATGCCTGATTGTTCTGAAATTTCAAAACAGACAGAAGAAAAAGCTGAGGTAAGCATTTAGCTAAAATTTTACACAAAGATTAAGAGAGTAAAGCCAAATAAATAAAAAGACATAAAGAAGAGAAATAAAAATAAAACAGAAATAAAGCCACAAAATGGTAATAAAAAAATGAAAAGCTGTTTAGTTTGATAATAAAATAGATAAACCTCTGAGAAGATTAATAAAAAGGAAAAATAACCTAAAAGATTACATAAAAAAATACAAAGAGATACACAAAGTAACTTAAAAATATTATGAAAAACATATGTTCATAAATTTGAGAACCTAGAGTTCTACTATATATAAATGTGAAAATGAAAAATGGGAATGGTAGAGTTCTGTTTAAAGTTCTGTACATACACGCACACACATATCTCACTAATGTTACTAATCCACAAACATGAAGTTTCTATTCACATTTATTTCAAATTTTATACTTACTTTGGCATTCAATAAATTCATCAGTATTGGTCAATTCTCTGATAAAATCCTTAAAATGCACCACTTCATCTATTAAAAAAAGGGGGGAGGAACAATGTAGATATTCTTGTAAAAAAAATTAGAGTTATAAAATTAGAGCTATAAAACACAAAAAGTGGAGAACCAACAATTACATTGTGATTAATGTGATATGCAGATTAAAAATAAAAGCTCCCAAAGATATTAATTTGAAAATCAATTCAGGCTGGTCCATACCTAGTGGTTCAGGGAGCCAAATCCCATATAGTGAACCACAATTTCAATCCCAGCCTCAGCAGCTTAAAAAACACACTGAACATATGTGCATATGTGCTCCAAACTCCAATGGGATGGAGAAATAGAGAAGGGATTGTAATGTGAACATGCCTCACTGGGGCGGTGGGGGGGTTCTTTCTTCCTCTCTCTCTTTCTTTGACAAATGCACACACCCTCTAGCAATTAAAAACATTAAAAAAATCAATTCCTTCCATATAAACACATCAATTAAAAAAATAAGAAAATACTTTTGAATTTTTCATTAAAGACAGGTAGACAGATATAACTATATATTGGTTATATCTTTGTGAGCATTAAGGTGAAATTTTTGAAATGTTAAATTTGTAGGTTTAAAATGAAATAATTTCTCACCATTAGGATTAGTATTATCCAAAGCCTTCTGTATTTTGTCATCAGACAGAAAGATTCCTATGGCATTTAAATTTTGATGAAGATCAGAAATGGCTGTAACATCACTTTTATGAATGTTGCTGTCGTAAAGTTTATTTTTCTCTTCTGGAAAGAGATACTTTAAGTTAGAGAGAAATTTTCTTGTTCTCCTTTATAAAGATGAGAGGTAAAAGTTTTCCATCATACAAAATTATGACTAAGAAAAAAGGTAGTATTATTTTGTATTTATTTATATTCTGCTCTCTGTTTCCAAAATAATTTAAGTTAGCTTACAAGAAATAGACACACAAAAAATACAAATGTAAGTGGAGAAAGTAGGGAAAAGGAATAGAAAGGCAATAAAAATAAAAAGAACAATCAAGAAAATATATTCCAAAAGGTCATAGACATAAATTTTGCCACAGTTGCAAATAAAGTATACATGTAACAAAAGCATTCAGAGTAAATAAAGGGGGAAAAAAAGACAGAATTAAAGGAGAAAACAGATGATTCCACAATCAGAATTGAGATTTTTTTTTTTTTGAGAGATTTTCACTGTAGGGCGCGTGCGCTCGCCAGACAGACAGAGAGAGACATAGAGACAGAAAGCGAGAAATCACCCCCCAGGGGGGATAGTCACGCCGCAATCCCTTCTCCTCCATTCTCCTCTCGGGATCTTGGGCACGCACGCACACGCGCCCGGCGTGAGTTTTAAGCCACCGGGTCCGGGACACGAACCGCGGTCGACTACGTGGGAGTCCAGCGACATAGCCATTACGCTAACTGCTGGTTCCCCAGAATTGAGATTTTAATAGCTTGCTCTCAGTAATTAATAGGACAGTAGAATAAACATCAATAAGAATAAGAAGAGAGATTTTTGCTATAGAGTACATGTGCTCACTGGAGAGACAGAGAGACAGAAAGCGAGAAATCACCCCCCAGGATACAGCCATACCATAATCACTTTCATCCATCCTGTTCTTGGGATTTGGGGCATGCACACACGCATGCCCCCATGTGAGTTTTAAGCCACCAGGTCCAGGAATCAAATCGCAGTCAACCACATGGGAGTCCAGCAATGTAACCATTATGCAATCTGCTGGTCCCAACTTAATATTTATAGATCACTATCCAACAACTGCAGAATATACATTTTTTTAAGTGGATATGGAACATTCATTAGATAGACCATATCCCAGGCTATAAACAAATCTTAATGAATTTTTAAAAATTTTAAATTGGAAATCAATGAGACCAGCAGATGGCATAATGGTTATGTCACTGGATTCCCATGTAGTTGACTACAGTTTAAATCCCAGGCTCAGTGGCTTAAAATTCATGCCTGAGGGTGATTTCTCACTTTATGTCTCTCTCTGACTCTCCAGTGAGCGCACATGCCCTACAGAAAAAACCTCTCAAAAAAAAAAAATTGGAAATCAGTAATGATTAGGATGTCTATGAAATATGAGTGTCAAATACTTGGAAATTAAATAGTCCATCTCTAGATAATCCATTAGAAAATATGTTAAGTGTTAAAGCGCAACATATTCTAATTTGTGTCAAGCAATGAAAGAAGCATTCAAATGGAAATTTGTAACTCTAAATGTTAGAAAAATAAAAAATCAATTATCTAAGCTGCTATACTTATAAGCTAGCAAAAGAACAATAAATAAAGCCCAAAGTAAATAAATACCAAGTAAGAATAAAAGCAAAAATAAAAATCAAAGGAAAAGAAAACAGAAAGTTAACAGACATATAAAGAAAAAAATACATAAAGCATCATCTAAGAAATGTGGGATAATATTAGGCATGCAACTGAGTCTCAGAAGAAAAACAAAAGAGAATAAAAGAGAAAAAAATTTACTGAGAATTTGATAAATATAATGAAAGACATCAAAGCACAGATCCAAGTACAGAGAACCTAAATTAGAAAAATATGAAAGAAAATACACCTACACATACATTACTAAAATTAATGAAAACTCTACATACCCACACTTGAGACTGGCTCTCCAGCTGCTCCACAAGCACCTACACTTGGCACACCATTGCCAACTTAGCACTGGGAGAACTTGCATCTCAGGCACTGGTGACTGTCAATCTGAACCCTAGAGCTGCAGTCATTCCATGAGTACCTACAAAACCATGCTTCTGTGGCCTTTGTACGTGCACTGCATATCAGATACTACTAGTACCATTGTCATTACAAGCATACAATAAGTCATACCTGATACTTCTTGACCAGGATTTCCCCTGTGAGTGAAAAACTTATCAGAATGACCCTGGCACTCTTTGCCACCAAAGACTATGACAGCCTTTGCTACCACTGTAGACAACCACACCTAAGTTGCTGCAACTTCCTCCAATTTTTACCAGTGCCTACCTTAGCTGAAAGAGCTGTGCAACACTATTCTGTACACCCTATCAGTGCAGTATCACTATACCTCACCTAGATGGCACCTTCACACCCACCTG